TATTTTAATATATACTAAACTTTGTGGTAATCCATTGGGTAATAGTGTGTCTGTGGTTAACATTAAATGGAAAAAAATATTAAGAATTTCCTTAGCTTCTATACTAAATCAGAACTTGTGTCGAATTTGCCGCTTTTTTGTTCTAAAAAAAGGGAAGTAAGTCGGAATCTTTTTAAACGTGTACATACATTTTAGTAACCGTGTAAATAGGTTTATTAAATATATTTTAAAATTTTTAATATGTTTGTAATATGCTTACATAAGAAATGATTAGAACAGAAGAGATATTTGACTAAATTAATATCTCGAAGAGAAAAACTTCTTGGAACAAAATTCTCACCGCAGAACACAAACTTTTTTTCTTGTGATTCTTCTAAAAAAGGTCTAAACAGTAGTTACTTTTAGTCAAAGCTCGAACAACTTTTTTGTTATAATCGTACGCAAAATCAAACGCTCTCTATTTCCGAGTGTTGTAGTCCATCGAACAAGAGTCGCAAAACAACAAGTCATGGGCAAACGCAAGAGATCCGATGTGGACCAATCTATTGACGAAAGTGAAAATGATGTGAGCATCACTAAGCAACCCAAAATCAGCTGGGAGGAGAAAGTCAAACATTTAAGTCCAATCGCCAGCCCATTGGCCTCCAAGAAATTAACAAAAAGACTTTACAAAATGATAAGTAAAGCCAAGGCAAATAATGCCCTACACAAAGGAATCAAAGATGTCCAAAAGCGTTTACGAAAGGGAGATAAGGAAATTGTCATTTTAGCTGGGGATGTGAGTCCATATGACATCATTTCACATATTCCCATAGTCTGTGAGGAAGGGGAAATTCCATATTGCTACACACCTTCAAAATCTGAACTTGGTGAATCTTACGGCACAAAACGACAAGCATGTGTGGTGCTAATTAAACACCATGACGCCTTTAAAGATCTGTTTGAGGAATGTAAGGCAAAGATTGCTGAAATACCAACATCATACTAAAAATTGCTTTAAAACTTGTTTCAATAAATATAAATTCAAAAAAAAAAAAAAAAAAAAAAAAAAAAAAAACCCTACCACATGGGCGTGTCTAGCTGGACTACCACATGGGCGTGTCTAGCATAACCCTACCACATGAGCGTGTCTAGCTAGACCCTAAAAAAAAAAAAAGCAAGATTTCAAACCAGTTTTAAAACGCAATTTTTGCTTGCTAGGCAGAATGCGAGAAGTAAAATATAATTTTTCCTGGTATATCCAAATCAAAAGGACCCTCATAGTACAAAAATATTATTGAAGAAAATAACTTTCAAACGCATATACTTACTTAAATTATATTTGACTTGATCATGTATGAGTAGTGTTTCTTATTGTCTTCCGTATCGTAAATTTAAACATTAATTGCGAAACCATGTTAAACCGTATCCTGATTCAATTAACGATGCATATTAGATCTTCTTCTTCTTCGTTCTAAATTTTAGTGTTGGAAGGTATCCCCTCCAACACAATTAAGTATACGTGTCAACTATTGATTTGGCATTGAGGCCATTGACTCTGATTTCAGCCTGCTTTTCTTTTTGGATTTGCTTCCATAGCCTTTGTCCAACCAAGAACAAACTACAAGGCAGCAGTTGTTTGATTTTGGAGTTGTCTCTCCTAGAAGAGTGGCTGTCCCCAGCTAACGAACCTCATCTGCCCGAGCGTTCAAACTCGAGACTTTTCGGTTTAGCAACACAAAAAACTGGGGCTTATCCATCAATACCAAGAAAACAACTTATTCAATCTTCACCTTATCAACTAAACATCAAAAAATGAAACTAACCCTAGAAAACCAAGAGCAAGAAAAAAATGACCACCACAAATACCTAGGAGTCACTTTTGACACTCGACTTACCTGGAGAAAACAAATAGAAAACACGCAAAGTTAAGGGATCAAAAGACTTTATCTAATGAGGAAACTGGCAGGAACAGACTGGGGAGCAAATCACCACATCCTGAAAAAAACCTACACCAGCTATGTGAGACCTACGTTAGAATATGGTGCTTCGGCTTGGGGCTCAGCAGCAAAAACAAATATTAGCAAAATTGACAAAGTTCAGAACATTGGTTTGAAAATAATGACAGGAGCCATGAAAACAACACCCATAAAAGCTATGGAGGAAATAGCCGCTCTTAGCTCAATAGAAGAAAGAAGAGAATCAAAAATCCTCACTCAATACACAAAGCTAGAGGCACTGGAAAACCATAACCTAAAACAAAAACTCCAGAAACCCAGTCCATCAACCAGACTACAAAGAACAAGTTTCATCAAAGAAGCAAAAAATCTGAAAAAGAAATATGAAATCGAAAATATCATTCCTGAAGCAATAAAAACTCAAAACCTCTCCCCGCCTTGGATCTCCCACTGTCATTTAACCATTATTGACTCAATAGACACCATAGAAAAAAAATCTGACTATGATCTAGAAGAACTTAAGAAAATAACAAATAAACACATTAAGGATCAGTACCCCAGCAATACCTGGATTAGAGTTTTCACAGATGGCTCAGCTGAAGATGCCACAAACAATGGCGGGGCTGGCATCCTTATTGAATGGCCAAGCGGAGAAAGCCTGGAAAAGGCAATAGCCACAGGCAGCCTATCCGACAATTTTAGGGCAGAAAAAGAAGCTTTAGAACATGCAGCAAACCTCCTGTCAGAACACCCTGAATCACCGAATAGTCAGATTGTATTTCTTACATATGCCAAATCTGTCCTGCAATCCCTAAAAAATCCAGAGTCCTATATTCAAACACGACAGCACTAGAGAGGCTAAAAAATACCTGCAGCAGAATTGTGCTGCAGTGGATCCCGGGCCACTGCCAGATCCAGGGTAACGAGATCGCAGACCAGCTGGCAAAAATTGGGGGAAAGAAACCACAACCGGAAATTTCGCTACACCAAAAAGAAATAAAAAGAATAATAAAAAACAAACAAACGCTAATGTGGTCTGTCACACACCCTCACTACAATAAAGACGACGGCTGTTATAATCTGACACGAAAACAACAATACATAATCTTTCGACTTAGAACAGGCCACAACAGACTAAATCAACACATGCACAGAAAACTGAAGGTTGGGTGTGGCGAAATGTGCCCTTGTGGCAAGGCCCCGGAAAATACGGAGCACGTACTCCAGGAATGTACTTTGTATAGCCAGGCACGAGTCAGACACTGGCCCCTGCCCACCCCACTCAGGGAAAAATTATATGGGGCACCTGCCAAACTGGAGACCACAGTCCGGTTTGTCCACGAAGTTGGACTTGTTGTCTGAATCCTCCACCATATTCACAATTAAGAACGAAGAAGAAGAAGGTTTAGCAACCATGAGCCTTACCGACTCGACCATGCGACTAATTTCTAACTTATATACATCTTTATTAAAAGTATGACATTATTTCCATTAACATTGTTGCTTTAACTTCATAAGAGCGACAACTAAACATGTTCCAATATCTTAATACTAGATAAATCCCATGTCTTGCATTTATTAAATTTTTCCCCGTATTGCCTCATCCAATCGTACTTCAAGGTCTTTGAAACTTCATTAAAAAATTAGGTGTCACATAACAAAAATACTTGCTGTAAGGAAATTTATATTTTAAAAATCTAAATAATCTTGACGTGTCTACGCTTATGGTGGCATAGTACCGACCACACTTTCATATGACGAGGTCACAGAAACAGGTGAACTCTACTTCATTTGCCATATGGACCGTCAGGTTCAAAAAGGGAACTATACTTTTTTTTACTGCTTAAGGTTACGTTAATTTAATAATTAAGGAGTTGATATACTGCGAGCTCAGTTATACACAAAATACTTGACTTCAGTTTTAATTAAAATGGAAATTTGTTTCATTTCTTTTTAATTTCTTTTGTTTTTCAAGACCGCTTTAATTGTTTTTTTTTAAAAGACTTGTATAGGCTACTTGCAAAACACACACAAACACACACGCAAATACACACACACACACACTGACTTGCACATAGGCACACAAGTACACACACAATTTATATAATTCATTTAGATATACACATAAATCACATTTATTCATGTATACTTCTGGATATATATATTTAAAAAAAAAAAAAAAGACTGATTGCTATTTAATGTTCAATCCCATGTGACTAAAGAATTAATTTATTCAGACATATAACCGTCCCAACGTTTTTTTTTTTGTTCCAATAGCTGACACGCTTCCAGATCTGGTTCTGATATCTCAAGTCCCACGGAACAGGAGACGCGTTCAGCACGGGCGTCAGGGGAGACAAATCTTCAAGCACTTTTCTAAATATACCCCGGCGACGAGGGGAGAGAACAATTAAATATTACAAACGAAGCCACCGAAGTTGGGTGTTTTTTTTTTCCTCTCTTCCAAATTTACTTCAGCCTAAAGACTTTTTTTTTCCAGACGTTTCGGAAGACTTCTGAAGAATTTTCAGACAAAATCGTGTGTATTCAGACGAACTGGAGTGTTTTTCTAAAGGATTACTAGAGAATCATTGTATTTTGGAAAAATAAGTTTATTTTTCCTCTTCTGGTTTGGAAAAGTGAATTTATTTAAAGATATTTTTATACCTTTTTGGCAAATTATTTTATTATAGACAAGATTTTGTGGTGATTTTTTTATTTTAAAAATTGTGATTTCTAATCACTAAGCTGTTGAACGATATCACGGTTTGATTTCATTTTAGACGTATAAAAAATAAATTCTTTTTGAAGAAAAAAAATAAAACAAGAAAACAGTAGATATTAGAGTGTTGAAGAATAAAAAAAAGAAACTAAAATTCTGGTGGATTATCTCCCATTAAAAGAAATAGCTCCACTCGGAAGTGTGTATTTCTCCAGCCCGTGATGCAAGAGTTATGGGGTTTGGGCTACAATCATACTAAGATGTGATCGTCTGCAGGCTCCATTGTGATATCGTCATCAACGGAGGACGGTTTTTTTTAAACGGATTTTTTTTTTTTTTTTTTAAATCGGAGAGGACCCATCGCAAGCCTGGACAACAAGGAAAACAAAGGGGGAAGGCAATTTGTCGATTACCTCAAAATCAGAAGGTAAGACGTTTTAGATAGGTATTTAATATAAGGATAAGGATGTCAGTTTACCGATAACCGAAAATCCGAAGATAAGACTTTTATGGTACTGATATAACTGTATTCGCATTTGTTTTCTAACAGTACTGTATACTGATTTTATTGTGATAACCACCAAGCCATTTTAACACATACTCAAATATATATATATATATATATATATATATATATATATATATATATATATATATATATATATATATTATGAATTAAATAGCAATTGGAATCCAAGCATCATAGACCTGGCCTTCTCGAGTACAATACAAACAAAAATATTAGAGGGATATAGGTGTGGGCTAGTTTCATTGTCTTATAATAGCTATTCATTGCATTCATTACGAATTAGATACAATGCAGTATGTTCTAATAGTTTATTAAAACAAATTTTCAGTGGCATCGTGAGGTCGGATGTCACCAATCTTGTGGTGCCACCGCCCCCTATCTATTTTTTCTCTGTACATTTTGCAGCTGGTGTCAATCCCTCCCCCTTCCCCGGTAAAAGCTTTGAAGTGTTCACAATTAATAAATTTAATACTAATGATGTTTTTTTTTTTATAGTCGATTGTTAATACACCTGGAGGTAGCATTGTTGTCTCTATAGTTTTTATCTTTACGTCATAGTTCACACCCCTACCACCCACACCCTCCCCTCCCTTGTCTGGTGTGTCATTACGTACTTAAAAAATATTTTTAACTCCAATTAACCATCCATTGAACAGGCCAAAAAAAACCCACCATATTTATTCTATATATTTCGCAAGTGTTTTGTCTTGGTGTCATCCCCCTAAATGGTGTCACGCGGTGCGGTCCGCCCCCCTCCCCTCCGCCTACGACGCCTCTGTTCATTCTTTTGGGCGACACGTTAAACTGAAGTTTAAAAAAAAAAAGCCAAACCTTTAAGACACAAACTGAAATGTCAGACTCAATGTTCCGTTCTCACTACAACTTCTGAATATTTAATTTGTTTTCGGCTGTGTTTGATGAAAAACTATTTTGTCCCTTCTCAGATAACGGAGAGAATTCGCTTTTATCAAATTAGCAGAAATTTTTTTAAACACTGCAGCTGCTTGTAGGAAGATTTCTAAATGTGTTAAAATGTTATCGGTAACATTAACGTTCTGCATTATAAACACGTCCCGCATTGAATGTTCTGTTGTTTGTTAACAATGTTAATACAATTACCTAATTGATTAGCATAAGTTACAAATGTATTGTTAAATATTACAAGTGTTTTATCTCTATTATAGACTGAGAAAATGGAACTTCGAGAGAACACATTTGATTGTATTATAAGTTTTAACATTTCTGCTAATTATAATTCAAATGCTATACTCGGACAATATAAACTTAATTTTTAGAACATAGAGGTCCATAGTGCAGGTGAAATAGAGTTAACTTGTTTCTATGAAGTCGGTATATGAAGAGATACTGTGTTTCCTTAACGTGAGTCAGGTACCCATCAGAGCTGGGTGGACTCAGGGACAGTCTACTGACTTGAACCTGGATTCGAACTCGAGACTTACGGGTCAACATTCCAAATCTCTACCGCTAAATCTAAACTTAACTCTAATCCTTGTAGTAAATGTGATACAGATTTAAAAAAAAAAGTTATTTCTCTGAAATAATAGCGACTTATACATACACACACATATCTAACTGTGTCTGTAATCCCAATCTGTTACGTGTGGGCGTGGGTAAGACACTCACACATCTTCACCCCCCCCCCCCCCCCCAACACACACACTCCAATCCTTGTAGTAAATGTTATACAGATTTAAAAAAAAAAGTTATTTCTCTGAAATAATAGCGACTTATAAATACACACACATATCTAACTGTGTCTGTAATCCCAATCTGTTACGTGTGGGCGTGGGTAAGACACTCACACATCTTCCCCCCCCCCCCCCCCCAACACACACACTCCACACCTACACTTAAATCCGCACGTGAATATAGACTATTTACATTCTAGTTCGAAAGTCCGCATCACCGCTGATAAAAAATACTTTTTATTTTAAAAAAACTAAAGATTCTTGCAGACATTGAGGTAGGTTGAGGTAGGGTGAGGTAGGGTGAGGTAATATAATTTAAATATGAGATACGAAAACCCGCTACGTCACTGCCCCGGAAGTCCCTGGGGCCTGGTGTAATGAGGGTTAAATTAACTGAAAGTTCAAGAGTTAAGTACGGGTTTTAGAAGACCTAAAAAAAACTGGCAGAGTTCGTGAGGGGGAGGGGGGTGTGGTTAAGGGAGATAGGCGGGGATTTTTGGACGCATAGTTTCTTCCAGGCATTACCGCCCCCCCCCCCCCCCGAACGAAATGAAATTTATATAATTTATATAGAAAATAAATACTTTTAACAGTGTCCCCCCCCCCCCCCCCCCGAAAATTTCAAGTGCCCCCCGGAGAAAAAAGTCTGGAAGAAACACTGTTTGGACGGAGGTCCGAAAAGATGGGTTAAAAACTTTTATTTATTTCGCCTGTAGATCCAGCCTAGTATGTATTTCTGTTATGTTGTTGAAAAAAAAATTAAACAAATTTGTAAAACACTTTTAAAAGTATTTAATTTTTTTTTTAATTTTGTAAATAGTAAAATTTAGTTAACATTGAAGTCTATAGCATGTTAACGCATTAATTTTTATTACAACTATTTATTCTAGAGCTTTGTTTGTTCACATTTTACTACAATTTTCTTTAACATGCTTTAAAACCATTTAAACAATAGTTTTATCTTAATAAACCGACGATTAAAGACTCTATCAAAACAAATAAGTAAGTTTAATTTTTATAATTATAAAAATAAAAGTTTAACCCTACAGTGGGTTTCAATGGGAATCTAAGAGTAATGCCAATTGCAATTCTTTTGTCTACTTCATGCAACGTGTACATTAATAACGTTCATTTAAATTTAAAACCTACATATCTGCTGCAAAAATAACCGTTTCGATAACTGGTGTAGACGAAGTATAATTTTTTTATATGACTTCGGCAAATTGAACGAATAGTGTTAGTGTTGTTAATACAAAGTCTAACCGCCAATACTTCCACTAACATGAGCCAGGTACCCATCAGAGCTGAGTGGACTCTGGGACGTCTTACCGTAATCCATACATGATACTGCGGGTTTAGCAGTCGTGCGCTGTACCATACAACTACCCTGTCCGCAAATCCGGACTGAACTTCTGCTTTTTTCTTAACAACTCGTATTGGGCCAGGGCCAGGGCCAGTTTTATGGCCAAAATCTTGGCCTAGTTTCATGTCACAGAAAGCTACAGCTGGCCAACTGGCCAATCGGCCACCTGGCCAAGGGGTTTTGAAGAAGCGTCTCACATTTGAGATAAGTCACGATTTCTCCAGTCACGTGCTTAAGTCTAGACATAACACTTGACCAGAATAATTAGTGGGGAGACATGATCATTGGCAGTTTATCAAGTTTTAGGAGGAAGATCTGATAAGTTTATCAAGTTTTAGTTGGAAGATCTGATCATCGGCAGTTTATCAAGTTTAAGGAGGAAGGTCTGATCATCGGGAGTTTATCAAGTTTTCGTAGGAAGGTCTGATCAATCAGTAGTTTATCAAGTTTTAGTAGAAATTATGATCAGTCTTTAGTTTTTCAAGTTTTAGTAGGAAGATCTGATCATTGGCAGTTTATCAAGTTTTATAAGGTCTATAAGTAGTTTATCAAGTTTTAGTTGGAAGATTTGATCTATCAGATGTTTATTAATTTTTTGTAGGAAGATCTGATCAATCGATAGCTTATCAAGTTTTAGAAGGAAGGTCTGATCATCAGTAATTTATCAAAGATCTGATCAATCAGTAGTTTATCAAGTTTTAGCAAATGATTTCCTTACAAGTTCATGTGCCCTACTGGATATATCAGTGCCAGACAGAATATATTCCTGAGTTCATCCAGCTCAGATGGGGTACCCAACAGTACTTCGTCCCCGACTCCACCCTGCTCAAACGGGAGTACCTGACCACAGAACGTCCTTGAGTCCACTCAGCTTTTGGGGTACCGGATCAGATTTGTTAGTTAAACTATTCATATATCTCTCAGATGAACCAAGTCTAGAAATTTTAAAAGTTTCACAATCTTCTCATAATCCATTTTAAGAAAACCAATTGACTATATGTAAAACGTAGGCAACCTATTAGCCTATATCTTTTCTAAGCACTTAAATTTAGGCAATCTACCAGTCTAAATATTTTCTAAGAATTTAAACGCAGGCAATATATTTGCCAAAATCTGTTTAAGCACGTTGACAATATACGAGCCTTCATATTCTATAAGCACTTAAACGTATTCAATCTATTAGCCAAATCTTCTCTAAACATTTTTTAATTCATGTGATCTTCCTCCCTAAGCTCATAATTTAGGTAAACTGTTCCGATGTTTTAGACAAGATTATCATAAAGCTACAATCGATATGATTTAGTGAGCCGATTTATCAAACGCGCGTAATCAAAACATATAAGTTTGGCTTCATCAATCCATCATGGCAACTCAAACATTCCCAAATTCAATTTAGAGTACATTTTTTTCTGGTTCCTTTTTTTTATGTGACGTCTAGTCTCGTGTGTAATCTAGGTCAAAGTCTATATTTATCCTGCGGCTTGTTGATCCAATAAAGTAACAGAGGGGACGTGACGCGATGAAGAAAAAACGTTCATTGGTTGCCGATGACGCAGATGGGGAATTATTACACTGTGGACTGGTTAATTTACACACTAAGCGAGTCGCAAATAGTGGCTATTATCACACCCGTCTCCCCAACGGTATAAAATGGATAGCGGGGTGGTGAGAAATTTGGATGGAGGGGGGTAGGGGAGAGGAGTGAGGGCAGTTAGGTTAAATTGATATTTTTATGAGGAATGAAGGGTGCGTAGTTAAAATAAGATAGGGGTAAAGGGGGAGGGGAGAGGCTTGTTCAGTGGCATCAACTTGCAGTGTAGGTGTGT